AGCAACATTGCTTGCTACTAAATCCATGGCACTTGATAAATTCAGTTTTTTATTCTGCAGTTCTTCTAAAGCACTATTCAAAATTTTGAATATTCTTTCCAAAACCAAGAGCTTCAACAGAAAGGAATAGCTCTTTAGCCTTACCATCAAGTCCTTTGCAGAGCTAACTGATGGTCCATCAGCTCTCTGAACTGAAATGGCTTCCAGTGTTTCCACTACAGTGCCATAACTTATATGCAGTTTTCAGAGGGAGTCATGCTGGTATGACCAGCGAGTTTCACATACTGTACCTAGCTCGAGTACCTTCTGGCCTAGCTCCTGCTATGCCTTAAACAGTTCATGGTGCTTGTAACTACTGCTAAAGATGTACAGTTCCTTGGCAAATGCAAAGACTTCCTGATACTGGGTGATGCTGGAATATGTATCTGCAATGACAAGATTAAGCCTGCAAGCATGGCAGTGCACATAAATGGCAGGCATAATCCTTTCCTGAATTTGAGCTTGTACTGCCCACCCAGATAGAAGCTCCATCATAGCACTGAGCAACAATGTAATTAATATCAAGCTTCAAATACTGTAGTTCTTCAATAATCATTTTTAAAAAGGATTCAGCATTTAGATTTTCCATGTGGAAGCAGCCCAGAACTCTTTCCTGAATTATTCCTTTTCGATAGAAATGTAAAAGGAGACACAGCTCTTCTTTTTTTTTTTTTGGCATCTTTAGTTTCATCAACAAGGACAGAAAAATACTTGACATGTCCAACCTCTTCAACAATGCTTTCTCTCAGGGCTTCTGCTGCAGAATATATTAAATCATTCTGGTACTGGTGAGAGGTACAGTGTCTGTGACACTGTATGGAATTTGGGGGACACTTTAGGATATTATGAACACCAATATTGTAAAATTGTAATGAGTTGTGCAAGATATGCCATGCAAGATATCTGCAAAAATGTTATAATTTGCCAAGTATAATAAATCTTGTTTATATGTTTGTATCACCTTTGTATTATGAGTTATAGATATGTATGTATGTCTGTATTTCAAACTTGTGCTATGCTTCTGGGTGACACCCCCTGACAGTCTGGCATCAGCACTGCTTAGCCTGTTTGACAGCTCATCAAGGAGTATCAATGGTACAATTAACCCACTGAAAGGGTCAAGGGCTACACCTTATGACTCAGCAAGGCATGCAGGGGCATGCATATGGATAGAACTCTAAGGCTTCCAGGCCATGTGCTGGGGAGCTTGCCTTTGGAACAAAGGAAGCACAAGTTGCATGGCAACAGACTATAAAAGGCAGCTGCATCTTCTCCATTTTGTCTTCATTCCTGCTTCTTACCTCTGGAGTAATCTTTCTACAAATGAAGCTCTGAACAAAGGACTGAATGACCCATCCAAGCGGTGGATGAGTTCCAGAGGGACTTTCAAGCCAGTAAACTCACCAATACTGCTAGGAGCCTGATACGTGGACTTTGAATCTTTGTACGTATGTGACTGCTTTACCATTTAACATCTCTCTTCTTGTTCTTTCTTCTTTATAATAAACCTTTAGTTTTAGATAGCAATGGATTGGCTAGCAGTGTGGTATTTTGAGTAAGATCCAAACTTATACTGACCTGGTAACGTGGCTGACCCTTTGGGGTCAGAAGAATATTTTGTATATGTGAACAGAGTTTAAATAATTTCTTACTGTACTGGACGTATGTGCTGACTTGGAGCCAGAGAACTGGAATGCAATAAAGGGGGCTGTGTGATTTCCTTTTTCAGCTTCTCAATAACCAGTGTAGGGGATCAGGAGCACAATTTGTGACTGGTTGGGGAGTTTAACTTCAGAGTTACCCACCAGTCTTGGGAGTATCTGCTCTCCCTTTTGCAGCCTGCCCTGACCATGGCATTTCCAGTAAGGATTGCCCCAGACACACTGGATCACAGTGTCCATACTTGCTTCTTAGTCTATTCAAAAGGCTGGGCTGAGTTGAAGCAACCAGCTCAAGAATTTCCATGAAATTGCCTTGATTGCTAGAGTTAGGTATTTCATCATGCTGTGGAAAAGCAATACCATGCAGAGCATGGATACCTTTAAGAGTGTTTCAACATACTGGCAATTTTCAGCTATGGAAGCCTGACGACTGGAAACAAGTTGATCTGCAACACTTTTTGAACTGCTGCTCCTAAGTTTCAAGTAGTTTTGCCATGAGACGAAAACTGCCGTATGCCTGGAACTGAATGGATGTTGTTTTAACAAACTATGAAAATCTTCCCATTTCTTAAAGCTACACTCAATGAATGTTCTGTTGTTGCATTGTTCTCCTGGTCCAATTGTGCTTTGAGTAGTAAAGTGATGCCATGGAAAGCAAAAACAGAATCCTCTACAACTGAGTATTCAATAAAGGGGTACAAAGAAAACCAACTACAGTTGAAATGTCAACCTTAGGCTGTATCGGTTGTTCCTCTTTGTGCAATGAAATAAGCTATGGAGATGTTGTTGTTTTTCCTGTCATGAACAGGTAAACTCTGTTTAACAAAACCTTCTACCCTGCAGGTGATGTCAGAGCACACAGGACATCCTGAGATATGTAGTTGGTAGCCACTGATATATTGGCACAAGGATTATTATCCTGTTTGTTTTTCTGTGCTGAGTGCAGAACAATGCTACTTGAAAATGATCTGCGCAAATGCTTCCTAAAGGATGGTTCTTCACTGTCACAGTTTTCATAGCCAGGGGCCTTTCTTTTAAAAAATGATAAAATATTCCTCTGCTGTGGTGGTAGAGGTGCCACTGTACATGGGAAATTTTTTTTTTACATCAGCTTTTAAACATACAAAAATAGTAATAAAATAAAATCTACACTATTCTTTTATTTTTATTAAATTAAATATTATTTAAAGGCAACACAACAATGCCTTTCAATGAGGCAGTGAATACTTGTGCAATAAATGAAACAAAGACGTATGAAACACTATGAAGCAAAAAATAAAATAGTATTTTTTTCCCTTTTTCTTTCCCCCCCAATTACATGAAAGGCTTGGAAATGATTGCTGCTTCCTACTCTGATTTGGTTTATGGCAGCACAAGTGAATCAGATGTTAGTGAGTGTATTAGTGGTGAAAACAAATCATTCTGCAAAATAAAACTGAAGAAACCAAAGGAAAAAATGGTCAGTCAAATCAAACACTATATAAAGCATGACAGGTGTCTGCTTAGCACTGTTAGATAACCCTGCTTTTTAAAAAAAAAAAAAAGTCATCCACGCATATACACAGAATTCAACAAGGAACTCTTCATGGAGGTATGCTTCAGGGAACAGGATATCACACACTGAAGCAATAACTCTGGCTCTCTGACACACACACACACACACACAGTGTTATTGCCATTATCTACTCCAGCAGTTCTCAAACTTCATTGCACAGCGACCCCCTTCTGACAACAAAAATTACTATATAACTCCAAGAGGAGGGACCAAAGCCTGAGCCCACCTGAGCTCCACCACCCCAGACAGGGGGGCAAAAGCTCGAGCCCCACCATCCTGTGTAGCGGATGAGTGAGAGGGGGGCCAAAGCCGAAGCCCAAGGGCTTCAGCTCCAGGCAGGGGGCCTGTAACCTGAGCCCCGCTGTCCAGGGCTGAAGCTGAAGCCTGAGCCCCACTGCCCAGGGCTGAAGCCCCTCAGGCTTTGGCTTCGACCAGAACAGTGGGGCTCAGGCTTCGGCCCTGGGCCTCTGCAAGTCTATCACCATCCCTGACGACCCTATTAAAATGGGGTTGTGACCCACTCTGGGGTCCCGACCCACAGTTTGAGAACCTCCGATTAGTCAATTGTTTTTCACTCCACTAAAAATGTATTTTAACATATGCGATTTAGTTTTGTTTTTTTTCTCTTTCATTAAGAACAGGGATTTATTTTTCTAATTATTTTGGCATTTACATTTACCCATCACAATCATGTACATGACTCACTAACATTTGACTCCATCATTACTATTAGTATCAGACTTGGGACCATACTTATTTCTTTCAAATTTTAAGTTATTTTACAGATACAATTAAAAATGCAATTTGAAAATAAGCAACCTTCATCTGCACAGCGTCTAAACTTAGGTATTTCACTAATGTTAATGACACTCATCAATATTAGATAGTTGCTTTATTTTTTTTCTTGAAACTGGCACTGCTAAGGTGAGTACAAGCTAAGTTTACATTCTAGAAGGCTACTACTATTTGATTGTATCACTTTAAATAATGAATGACAAAGCAGAAGATGGTAATAAGCGTAATAATGATAATTACTCCAGCCAGGGCAGGTTAGACATTTTAGAATTCACTACTCAAAGAATTAAATTTAAGCATAAGCATAAGCATCCGATGAAGTGAGCTGTAGCTCACGAAAGCTTATGCTCAAATAAATTGGTTAGTCTCTAAGGTGCCACAAGTACTCCTTTTCTTTTTGCGAATACAGACTAACACGGCTGTTACTCTGAAACCAAGCATAAGAGAGAAAATTATGAAATACACAGACCTGTAAAAAAACTAACAGAACAGTACTGTAATCCTTAAACTCTGAAAGAATAAAATTACAGAGAATATATATGCATTGCACATTTTGACAGGAAGTACCAAGAACAACAAAACAATTCCCTAAACTAGTTAAAACTATAATAATAATTTTTAAAAATCGCTGGCCTATTATTATGTGTGTGTGTGTTTTCAGGCTGTCAGGGCAACAAGTGTTTACATTGTAAGAACATGAGTTAGAACATAGGCACACTATGCGTTCAGAGAGTTTTCTTACTCTTACTCTTCATGTAATTCAAATAAACAAGGTATTATGTTATAAAATGAAGCAGACTCTGCCTGAAGCCTGTCTGTGAACTTCAGTGAATATTGAAGTGATGGACTAAAGAATCAACTGAATATGATGTGCACAACCTAAATGGATTATTTTTTTAATCAAAGAGACCAAATAATGACACACGTCGTTGAAAAAAAAACATACTTACCAGAAAGGATGGAACGCCATGTCTAAAAAGCAGAATTCTTCCAACCTCCACCAACGTGTATGTAGACACAGGACTGTTTCAACACAAGAAGTGATGCCATGCATTAATACACTTCCCACTGAAGTGAAGAGCACCATGAGGTGGTGGCTGTGGATTATGGGATTTGTAGGAACAGGCTGGGAAAATCAGCAAAAAGAATGCGACTGCACAAACATCATATTTTAGATATGTGTACTGTTCGTAAAATTATAATATGGTATGAAACTTGGGGGAAAGGGGGTGGTGTCCTCCTGCCCTCCCTAAATAGTGACTCTGCCTGCCTCCCCCACCCCCAAAAACCTGCAAGATTGTCAGGGCAAAATTTGAAAAAGAGAGAATTATTAAATGTCTCTTCTGCAAAGAAAATTATTTCTACATAGAAAATTCAACTGTCCTCTGCCAAATTTGAAAACTATTTTTACTCACTGAAGTGTGAAGCATAAGGATTTTAGTCCTGAAATAAGTGTACATCTCAATTCAACCTTAACTGGCGTTCCCACTGATGCCTTCATTACATGCACAAAGAAGATGTCTCAGCACGTCTCATCAATGGAACATGTTATTCCCTAATAAATCCACTTGGTGTCACTAACTGACCATCAGTCAATGAATATTTGAAACACCATCCTGACGAAACTAGAGAATCAAAGCTTTTAAAGAAGCTTAATACAGTAATTTGATCGAAGTAATGCCGAATTATCTAATCATTACAAGAACATGTGAAGAACTACCTTTGGACAGTCATGCAATTCTAATCTCCTCACTATTTTACCAGCACACATTACTGTATTTAGGTAAATGAAAAATTATCTTCTGTTTTTGGCATTACAATGAAGACTTAAATGAAGTTTTAAACATTTCTGACAACAGCATTGCCAACTCTCACAATTTCATCACGGATCTCACCAAATTTATTGTTTTTCTTAGAGGCTCAATTCTTGGAATCAAGGGATTACATAGAATCTCAGCTTTCATTAAAAAAGTAAGTTTCTGGCCCTCATTGTTGTGACACAAAGCTTGAAAACATGACCCCAGTATACCCTAAAAGTTCAGAAATTGGAATGCAAATAAACAGCACACCATTTTTTTTAAAATCTCATGATTTTTATGCTACTCTCATGCTTTTCTGGAGGGCCTGAATCAAGAGTTGTAAACATTTAGGGTTGGCATTAACAAGACAACAATTCCAAATCTGAGGACGGGCGTCACTATCTCCAAACACAGAAGTCAAGTCACTTGTCACACAACACATACCTGTGTTTGCTCTTCAAACATCCAGCAAGTGTCAAAGTCTGCACCACACTCCACAACAGATGTCATGCTGAGACACTACCTCTTCTCAAATTAATATAGCACTAGAATTTTGGGCCCCAACGGAGTTCCCAAAGCATGATGCAATTACATAACACGCATCCTATCTGTTCAGCTGCTCAACTGATTTTGTCTTAAATCCATTATTCTCCCTCTGGGGTTGGTGCATACCATACACTAACTGTGGAAACTACATAAACTAAAACAAATCCACTTACCTAATACAAGTTTTGAAGAATTTTTATCAGGTTTGCTAGTAATAGACGTGTGTTTTTTGAACAAGTGTTAGTGCTTTCATAACCCATCTGCTTGTCCTTTCAGATCCTGTAAGAAAATCATAATGCTAATTTCTACTATCTCCAACACTTCCATAACAACAGACATAACCTCATGCTTATTAGATTAGGCTCCCTGATTATTCAAAATCACTAGTAGCTGAACCTGCCTATCTGAGGAACAGCCAACACATCTCCCTGTCTGGAAAACAATTTTCCAATTTTAGTTTATTCGGAGGAGTTATAAATAATGAAGGGGACAAGTGACTGATACAGAGTGATCTGGATTGCTTGGTTAACCGGGCACAAGCAAACAATGTGTTTTAATAGAGTAAATGTATACATCTAGGAACAAAGAGTGCAGGCCATACTTACAGGATGGGGGACTCTATTCTGGGAAGCAATGACTCTGAAAAAGATTTGGGGGTTGTGATGGATAATCAGCTGAACATCAGCTCCAAGTGTGACACTATGGCCAAAAGAGCTGATGCATAAACAGGGGAATTCTGACTAGGAGTAGAGAGGTTATTTTAACTCCATAGTTGGCACTGGTGAGACCCTGCTGTAAAACTGTGTGCAGTCTAGGACATACAATTCAAAAAGGATGTTTATAAATTGGAGAGGGTTCAGAAAAGAGCCACAAGAATGATTAATGGATTAGAAAACATACCTTATAGAGATATGCTAAATAGATTGAGCTCCTTGAGTCTAACGAAGAAAAGGTTGAGGGGTGACTTGATTAAAATCTACAAATATTTACTTGATGAGAAAATATTTAATAATGGGCTCTTCAATCTAGCAGAGAAAGTTATAATACAATCCAATGGCTGGAAGTTGAAGCTAGACAAATTCAGATTGGAAATAAAATGTAAATGTTTAAGGGTGAGAGTAATTAACCATCAGAACAGTTTCCAAAGGATTCTGGTGGATTCTCCGTCACTGCCAATTTTTAAATCAAGAGAGGATGTTTTTCTAAAAAATATACACTAAGAATTATTCTTGGGAAGCTCTATGGCCTGTGTTATATAGAAGGTCAGACTGGATGATCGTAATGTTCCTTTCGGGCCTTAGAATCTATGACTTTATGAGGTCACTTTGCCAATTTGTTAATTGCTTACCAGTTATAAGGCACTTATTCATTTGTATTTATTAATTCTTGTTGAAAAGCTGTGCAAGAGATTTTGGCAATAACGGACAGATCTGAAAACAAGAAGAGTGTGATAGTTCTGGCTGTATGGGGGAAGGAGATGGGTGTTCACAATTACAGACACTACAGAAGTATAAAAGAAAACTTTAAGACTTTACATGTCAAAGGAAAGTGCTGCTAAGGCCAAATAAAAAATAAACCATGAAGGGTTTCAGCAAATGATGGAGAAGAGGAACCTTTATTGAACATTTTGTAACAGTATTTTTCTTTAAATTGACTTCTAATTATATGAATAATTCTAGTGTTCGGATAGTTGAGATCCTACAGTACTTCACTACAGAACCAAGTAGAAGCAACAGCAGATTACAGTAAAATACAATCTAAGTAAAACAAAAAGAAAATATAGATCTCCCCCAAACATTTACAAATAAGAGTTTATTCCAAGTAGTAACTGAACCAAACTCTAAACTATGACTACAGTCATTCAAACAATGATGGCATAGTAATAACCAGACATTGCATAGGATTGTCTAGTTTAGTTCATTTTAATGTCACTGATAGAGATTGTGACGGCATTGGCTAGAACTAAACAAAGCACATGGAGTTCCTAGACAAAATTTTACATGAGCCGAGATCCTCAAATACCTTTGAGGATCTGGGCCACATTGTTTCGACAGCACCGTAGTGCATCCAAGCTATTCCAGTATCCTGTCATTCATGTTTTGAGAAGACTTCAAGTTATGTTTAGTGATGTGGAAAACTGTCCCTGAAGAACTGGTTTTCCTGGTGATCAAACTAATGTCTAAAAAAGTGAAAGGCTAGTACATTAAAATGCCATGTCACTTAACTAGCTTCCATGATATTTCTGTTGCAATATAATGTATATATTCCATTATAGGACCCAGTAAAAGCACTTGTGTTTGAGCTCTACTGAGTTCAAATTAAGCAGGTGCTTAAGTGATTTTGTGGATAGCGATGTTTCTTGAATATGGGCCACAAAAATGAACTGCAAGTGCTATATGTTAAAAGTCAAATGACAAAATGAAAATCTAAGATTAAAACTAAATTCTCAAAGATAAATTGCTGACAAGCATTATCTTGTCATTTTATAACCTAACACCCTCTTACTCTGACGATTCGTTAGTGTTACTTTCTCTACATCTGACACGTGGAAACAGTAAATGATTAGCTTAATTCAACCTCACCTCGGTTTTTGACACTGGGAGCACAGGATATAAAAAAAGATCAATAACCACCAGAAAACACTCTCCTCCTGAACTTTGAACTGAACTCAGAATTCCTGAGAATCATCATTCCTCCTTATGTGTAGAAAATAGCTGTGAAACAGACTAAGAAAGAATGTCTTTCATCAATCTCTACTGGCTAGGTCACAGAGGACAACAGCCTACTATCGCTATAGTTAGTTAGCTCATGTGGCAAGAGGACTGTGCTGGGGGTCTAAAGATTGCAATTCTATTCATGACCCATATAGTGGTCAATATGGTTTCTGGTTTTTTTCAGTTTGCTTTCTTTAAAACTTAGGAAATTTGTATTATACATTTATATATATATATATATATATATAAAAAAGAATGTTATGGCTGCAAAATTGAACACGCAAAAGTGAGGAAATGCCAGAATTAAGGTTGCCTGCGCAAAGTTAATTTGGCCTCCTTTTGCTTAGGCATTATGACAGTCTTTAATTACATGATCATACTGTTACAGGGTCCTTTGGAAAGTATGTACTGAGTCAGGAGCTGACTTAGCCTGAGACTCAAATCCCCACCAGTATCATTTATTGAGACCAATTAACTGAGCTATGGCTGAGGGGATCATTTCAGAGGGAAGGAACCCTAGCAGCTGGGAATATATAAATTGAGAGGAAGAAAGCTCTGGGGAGAGCAGAAAGCCCGAGGAAGGCAGAGATAGTCAAAACTGGCTGTTGCTAGTCCTGTTCCCATCCCCAGAAGCAAGTGGGCAGATGGCTGGGGGATGATAAATATATGTAAATAGTATTACAGGGGGTGGCCTGCTTGACCATCACAATAAAACACAATGCTGGTGAAGGATAACTGAAGTGGTTGTGACAGACCCCATTTCATTCAATGCACAGGATGGACAGTACTCAGGGAATGAACAGGATTGTATAATGAAAGAGACTTATCTGTAGGACCTCTACCTCATCTATTGCAGAGGTAGGAAGTTATGCAGCAAATGAGGCAGGGGATTATGCAGGAAATGAGGCTGCTTTAACCACCACTCTGAAGAATTGGATTCTATCCCTGCCTCTATCACAGAGTTCCTGTTAGCTGTGAGATTCTGGGCAAGTCACATAAACCAAAATTTTCACAGATGGCCATTAACTGTGTTCCTCATTTTCTGCGTACCCAATAGAGATACCTGGGGATTCATTTTCAGAAGTGCTTAGCATTCTCAGCTGCAACTCAATAGGACCTGTGGTCTGAACATATAAAGGCCTATAAAACTTTTATCACCCTTGACAATTTTGGACTTCACTCCCCATGTGTAAAATGGGGATAATAAATACATACCACCTTACTTCCCATGGATATTGTGAAGAAATTAATTCATGTTCGTGAAGCATTATCAGCTACTACAGTGATGGGCACCAGAGAAAAGACCATGAGGAAATTAATACTTCTATATCCAAGGAAGAGTTTGAATGTTGCAGTAAATAAGGCATGGGATTATACACTTATTGATTAGGATAAAAAGAAATATTGAATAGCTGCTCTCTTACGGCATGTCTACACTTACCTCCAGAGCGATCAATCCAGCAGGGATTGATTTATCGCGTCTAGTGAAGACGCAATATATCAACTGCCAAGCATTCTCCAGTACTCCACCGACGGGGGAGTGTCAGCAGTCGACTTAACGTAGTGAAGACACTACAGTAAGTAGATCTAAGTATGTTGACTTCAGCTACGTTAGTCACATAGCTGAAGTTGCATAACTTAGATCGACTCCCCCCCCCAGCGTAGGCCAGGCCTCAGTGACTACCATCCTTTCTGTGCATTGAATGAGGCAGGGATTCTATGGAAAAATATTATATACTGGTCAGAGGCTGATATGGATTTTTTTTTTAAAGTCACATATCAAGTCTAGTGGTAGAGTTATAGATCACTTGGTTTCATATTTTAGAGAAGTATGTGCTGCAGTATGTAGCATGATATGCTACTGCATGTGATTTTATCTAACAGCCAAACAGCATGCACTATGATGTAGGTGTCTTCAGAGATATACCATCTTCTAACATTTCTCCCATAATTGTTGCCCATTTGTAACAGAAAATGGCTCAAGTGTTCTCATCAAATGGTTTGATGCAGAATGAGAGTTCACTTTGCTGTAAGTCATAACTACTTTTGGGGAATTTTAACTAATCAATACTGCTGAAGGAAAAGCCACTAGCCATTCAACCCTATTCTTTCTAGCAAGGCACTATTGACATGGTTGGAATATTCTATAGCTGGACTGTACAATCTTTGCCCTCCCCTGCCTCCTGAAATTTCTACCAAATGTTTAAAATACAATGTACAGATAACAGAGTTGTAGCAGCAAATACCAACAGGACTTCAGGATCTTTACTGGTCTAGATGTAGCCTACTAGGTATTAAGTATAGCATGAACTGATGGAGGGTTGAACTGAGTAGCATGCATCGGAATTCAACTGCAAGTCTCACATCTCAAATATAGCTCTAGTAGAACATGTTCTTTTCATGGCGTTCTAAGTTTAATATTATTTCCATAGTGCCTTACGCATCTAGTACACTTTCACAAACAAAAAGACAGTTCTTTCTCTGAAGAGTTTACCATCTGGAAACTGATGATGCCCCAGAATCTTTTGGACCATCTCATCTGATGCACTGCTACACTCAGAACAAATGTATCTGAGAAATATTTGTGAAATATTATTTGCATTGCTAAAGAAACTCACTACACATAACAGAAGTAATGGGCCAAGGGGAATAAAATACACCAAAACCTACATTCATATATAGAACAGCATATTTAAGGCCAGTTCTGCCTTTGCTTCATATTGACTTTGTCAGAGCAGTATGATACATATGTATTTACAGCTATAGTGTCAAACCATAATCACAATTTTAAAAATAAAAAATTATCAAAACCCCGTTAACAGCAGTAGGGGCTACTCCTTGTACATTCATTTGGAAACTAAAAGTTCACCGATGCTCAAGGTATTTCTATTTTGTGCCACTTCTGAAATCTGGAACAGAACACCATACAAGAAAGTTTTGATACTGGTGGCACTGTAGAGTTAAATCATGCTTTTCTCCCACTTCAATATCTAGGGATCTTGATGATATGAGAGAATAAAAGGAAGCACATTTTTACTGCTGTGATATCAGCAACATGGATGTTATCACAACCAAAGAAATGAGAACCGTTTCAACTTAGTTTGGCAGAAAGATCATAGAATATCAGGGTTGGAAGGGACCCCAGAAGGTCATCTAGTCCAACCCCCTGCTCGAAGCAGGACCAATTCCCAGTTAAATCATCCCAGCCAGGGCTGGGATGAGAGGTGAAGATGTTGGTGATCAGCATTGTCTTTCATTTTCAGGAAGCAGCCTCAGCAAGACAGCTCTGAGATTAAATGCATTTCTCAATACCTGCCAGGAATGAAATCTCAAAAAACTGCTATCATACTCTTGTACCAAACAGGATATGGAAGGTACCAAGAGGCTGGCCAGTGTCTATACATATGCGAGAAAATCCTGAGCTTCAATTTGTACATGTTGCAATCAAGATATTTTTCTCATGGGGCATTCTAGGCAACAACAAAAAGAGTATGCTCTATGCAGAGATGTGTAATATCCGTAATTTACATCTGATGAGAGAATGGAAGCACGAAGGACTATTCAACATAAGTCAAGGTGTCAGCACAAGCTGGGCACGGTCCAGTGCGCACGCACTCAGCAGTCTTTTACTGCTAGGGTCCTGAAATGTACTGTACAACCCCCCCCCCACTTCTCCCCCCTTTACACACCCTACCCCAGAACCCCCCCACACACACAGACCCTGCCCCCCCCCACAGACCCTACCCCAGAACCCTCCCCTACACAGCCCCTGCCCCAGAACCTGCCCCCCCAGACCCTGCCCCCCCACACAGCCCCTGCCCCAGAACCCCTCCCCCCAGACCCTGCCCCCCCACACAGCCCCTACCCCAGAATCCCTCCCCCCAGACAGACCCTGCCCCAGAACCCCTCCCCCCAGACCCTGCCCCCCCACACAGCCCCTACCCCAGAATCCCTCCCCCCAGACAGACCCTGCCCCCCCACACAGCCCCTACCCCAGAATCCCTCCCCCCAGACAGACCCTGACCCAGAACCCCTCCCCACAGAGCCTCCCCCGGCCCTGCGCCCTTTGACTCCCCGCAATGGCCCTCCCCCCGAACTAGCCCCCCGCTCCTCTCACACACCAGTTCAACTCCCTGCGGCAGCCTCCTCCGCCTCTCCCCCCGACCCACACGCGCGCGCGACGGGCCCGGCACGAGGGAATGACGTCACCATGAGCCGCCTGCCTCTCTCCCAGGCCCCGCATAGACATGCGCACGCTGCACGCCTCACCCCAACCCCGTCCGCATCCGCCGCTCACCCGAGCCGGCTGCTGCCCTCAGTCCCGCCCCGCCCCGCCGTCCATTGGCTGTTTTTGCGCTGAGTTTCGGCTTTCACGATTGGGTATGAGCTCGGGAACGCGGGCAGTGGGATTGGTCCGGAAGGAGGCTGGCGGGGGGGTGGAGCCTCACTGGGCTGTGGGCGGAGCGGGGCGGCCTGACCCCTCCCCCATAGGCGGGGCGGCCAGGCCCGCAGCGTCACCCCTCCCCCGTAGCGGGGTACCCGGAACGTAGGGGCGACCCCTGTGGGCGCGGGGCTTGGCCGTGATGAACCTGCTCCCGGGCTGAGGGGGCGTGCGGGAGCAGCGGAGCTGGGGGCGGTGCTCTGAACAGACCCAGACCCTGGCCCCCGCGCAGTCACGGGACCCCCCGACAGGCCCCCGTACAGACCGGGGTGCCGTGCTAGGCTGTGACAGCGACAGGCCCCCCCAACAACCGAGGGCGCGCTGAGGGTTGCCAGGCGTCCGGTTTTCCAGCGGAACGCCTGGTTGAAAAGGGACCCTGGCAGCTGCGGCCAGCACTGCCAACCGGGCCGTTAAGAGTCCCGTGGGCGGTGCTGCAGGGCGAAGGCCGGCTAGTTGCTACCTGCCCTGGCACTGCACTGCGCCCCTGAAGTGACCCACAGATCCAGCTCCTAGGTGGGGCAGCCATGGGGCTGCACGTACTGCTCCCGCCCCCAGCACCGGCTCCGCACTCCAATTGGCTGGGAAACGCAGCCAATGGGAGCTGGGGTAGGGCGGTGCCTGCAGGCGAGAGCAGCGCAAGGAGCCGGACGGACGGGGGACATGTCAGCTGCCTCCGGGCGGGCGCCTGGCACAGAGGCTGCCAGCCCTGCTGCACGCCGCTGGCTGGAGCCGCCACGATCCCTTTTCAACCGGCTGTTCCAGTTGAAAACCAGACACCTGGTCACCCTACTTGCAGGATAGGCGTACATTGCTTTGACCAGCGATGGGCCAAGTCCATCTCATGCAGCCCTGGGCTGCACTTCTATGAACAGAGACTGGCCAACCTGTACAGCCCTGACATCCTGTGCTGAGCCAGTGACAGTCCCAAGTTCATCATGGACAGCCCAGGCCTGCGATCTTATGAACACAGACAGACCACAGACCACTAGGTGCGTACAATGCTATGAGTAGTGGCAAGGCACAGGCCACAACGGAAAGCCCAGGCATGCGGTACTATGAACAATGACACATCACCATGTACAGCTGTGGCATGCAGTGCTGCAAAGTAGAGTTACTAATTTTGGTTGAACGTATTCCTGGAGGTTTCATCACAAGACGTAATCTTTAATTAAAGATTAATTTTTAATTCCTGGAGACTCCAGGACAATCCTGGAGAGTTGGCACGCACACTGCGAACAGTTACAGATCATCTTGTACAGCCCAGCTGTGCAACAATCTATTAAGAATGATGGGCCCAAGACCATCCCATACGACCTGTGCATGGGATGCTCAGAACCGTGATGGGTCATCCTGAACAGCTCAGGCATGCTATGCTGTGAACAGTGACAGGCCATGCTATACAGAACAGGCATTCAGTGCTATGAACAGTGACGGGCCACCCTGTACAGGCCAGGCTATGTGTAGTGACAGGCCACCTGGTACCAGCTAGGCAAGTGGTATTATGAACAGTGACGGGCCACCCTGTACAGGCCAGGCTATGTGTAGTGACAGGCCACCTGGTACCAGCTAGGCAAGTGGTATTATGAACAGTGAAGGGCCATGAGCCACTGTGCATGGGCTAGGTGTGTAGGGCTATGAACAGTATTGGCCTGGGCCCTTAACATCCCTCTTTTCCACTGTAGCTACCCCCATGCAGGTTGGTCTCCTTGCCAGCCCCATATACACACTCAACCTTTTTCATGCTCATATGTAACTACATCTGCAGCCATGGAGACCCCTATGGCTGTTGCTGTGCTGTACATTACGGGGGTGGGGGGGGCGGGCGAGGTAATATATTTTACTGGACCAACTTCTATTGGTAAGAGAGACAAGCTTTCAAGCTTACCCTGAGCTCTTCTTCAAGTCCTATACTGGTCCAATAAGATATTACCTCATCCACCTTGTCTCTCTAATACCCTGGGACCAACACTGCTACAACTACACTGCAGTCCCTCAGTCCCACACAACTACAACAGGGACACAAGTCATTCCTGCAGCTCCAAAAGCCCAGGCTCCTGCCACTTGAGCTAAAAGAAGATTCTGCAATATTGCAGTGAAAAGCTTAAAAACACAAACTCTCAACGCTCTAATACCAGAAGACAAATCAAAATAATCCAAAATACATATTTTTAAAAACACATGATTTCTAAGGCAACCCCATTATTTTTGGGAGGGTGGAGGTAGGGAGAGCTGCTGATTTTTCAGTGTTTGTAGTTGATAATACAGCAACACTTACAGAGTAGGGCACAGAATCTCTATGAATTAAATTAAGAATTTTAAAAATAGGGGTGCATTTGAATTTCCACTGCTTCATTTGTATCTGATCTAGATTTTAAGTGGGGACTAAGTTTTCCTTTATAGATGTATGGGATTGAGGCAACAGCCAGTGTCAACAAAAATCATAATATACCAGTAGTGAGCATGGAAACTTAAAATCAGTGGGATTATAGACTTCAGGATTCAGAGATGTAGAAGATCTCATAGGATCAGGATCTACAACTTGTGTGATACATCGAACAGTGCAGGCTTGAGAAATCACAGGGATATTACTTAGGAAATCCAAGTAGGAAGAAGAAAAGGAGTACTTGTGGCACCTTAGAGACTAACCAATTTATTTGAGCATAAGCTTTCGTGAGCTACAGGCTAACACGGCTGCTACTCTGAAACCAAGTAGGAAGGTAGGAGCAGAAGGAAAAGGAGAGTACATGGCAGAATGAGAGGAGGTAGTCAGTCTAAGCTTAAGGATAGCCTGAGACAAATATTAACCAAAAAAAAAAAAAATCAAACAGCTGTCGGTCAGTATTTCCTACAACTTTTTGTTATTACATTTTTCCAAATGGGGGGTGGGGTTAAATATAAACATTCCAGTAATAAAAAAGTAAAAAAGATAAACCAATTTAAAACTCAGAAAAGCCAGAAGAACAAAAACAGCCTTACGTGTACAAATTATATTGGTATAATTAAGTAATTCTCCTTATTTATTTTACAAATACCTAAGCTTACAGAAGTTGAAAGAATTTTTAAAATCAAATTTACCTTTTAGCATTAAAGTTTTTAATTTACATTTTGTTATTTCCCCCAACACAGATTAGTGGAAATGACTAACTTTTGATTTTATAACTTATTTCTAGTCAGTTTCATGTTCTTTTGCAAAAACTCAATGGTGTTAAATATGGGTTACAAATATTGCAAGTGAAAATTTATTTTTAAAATAAAAGTTTGCAGGAGGATTTTTTAAACAGTATAGAAACATTTCCATTAGTTTAGTTGCCACTGACATTTTTTTAAACACACGCACACACCCAAAACTTTTGAATCACATTTGAGCTGACTGTGTAAGTTTTAATGTTTTTCTGAAGTAAAACAAGGTCTTTAGCTAAAGCCAATAATGTGGTCAAGTCACATGGGTAATAACTGTAGAACCACACATAGTAAACACATGACTTGTTCTTCAGTGTCATGATAAGATTTTTTTTTTAACAACCCAGGTCACATAGGGTAAGCAGAAGTTGATATCAGAAGGCCAGAGTACTGACATTTCAATTATCTGCAAAGCTTAATTTTTGATAACCCTGAGAAGCTGCAGGTGGAGATACTTAATGTTAATAAACGTAAACTTTTATTCATGCTGCAGTATGACCATTAATCTACCCATTTCACATTACAGTGCAGTTACTTTGTTGTCTGGTTATTCTGGCAGCATTATAATTTGTTTTTGTGACTACTAGAGTACATTCTTATCTAGGAACATCCTGTAATATTGTGAGAAACAGTCAACTTTCTCTGTAATTCACAACGATGTTGATATTTGTGAACCAAGATTTCAACAGAGATAAATTTATTTCTAAATGGTTTCTTATTAGTGTAGTGTATTTGGTATAGCTTTCTGCATTCATGACAAGTTACAGACAAACGTCTTACTTGAGTACAGAAGCCTGCTATCCATGCAGACATCATTATTCGTAGTGACACAGAAGACAGAGTAATTTTTGTTTTTGTATTTTTTGTTCTGTAACAATTGTTTCATGGGTCAGATTTTTTTCTGAGTTGTGCATTTAAAATCTAATTGTATATAATGTATAAACACAGTACGGCCATGATAAAGACCTAAATGACATGCTTAGTTCTGCAGGGGGTTGGACTAGATGACTTCCTGAGGTCCCTTCCAACCCCGATATTCTAAGATTCTATGATATAACAGCCTTTCAAAATTGCTATGAAAATGTACAAGCTCAAACACAAAATGTACTCTGCTGCCTTTGACTATGATTGATCATGAAATGGTAACGATGTTTCACTAATTTCAGGTGAGCGGGCAAGAGGAATTTGTTCCTAATATAAAAATGCTATGGAAACAGACATACGTTGTCGAAGGGCCTGCAAATCAAATCTAGGTGGGTGGACTCCTATTAAAGTCAGTAGGACGCTGCACGGGTGCAAGAGTGCCCACCTTACTCTGATTGCAGGATCAGGGCCTAAGTAATTAATTATGCAACAACTAGAAGACTGAGTGAAATCCTGGCTGCATTGAAATTAGTGGCAAAACTGGCAAAATACTCTAAAGTGTATGTATAGATTGGTGGATGACATCATTTTGAAGACTTTAAAACATGCTACATATATTTTGTGTAACAGCAATGAATTTGATGCAGTTTCTATTGTTGCACTATAAATTGTCAGTTTCGAACTGAGAAATATTTTTAGATTAACAACCATCAACAAACTTGCTGGAATGTTTCGCAATGCTTTTGGCCAT